ATAAAAAACTATGACATCTCAGACCTAGATTACTGTGCTTCTACCACTCTTTCAGCCTGAATTCCCTTGCTTTTCTAATCTGTCCTGCACACTACTGCCTGATTAATCTCCTTAAAAGACTGCATTCAACTATTGTCCACTGGTTAAGACTGCTCTTTCACTGCAGGGCACAGGTTCATCCATGGCCGGAGAACTAGGTGTCACCAAAAAAAAACCAACTTCAGTGGTACCCCTTCTCTGCTAGGTAAAGTATGTAGGTATGCCTAGGGGATCAAAGTACACGTTGAAGGGACCCCAAATCACACGCTGACGTCTTCCTGTCCTTATCAGCATAATTCCCCTACCCGGATTCTTCTGCCCTGCACACATCCTCTTCTGCCTGTCTGTGTCATTTCCCATAATTAGGAGGTTATTCCTCCTGCTACATATGCCCTACTCAGACTGCAAGTCCTAGCTCTGTTGTAAACGTAACCTGAACACTCTGTCCCCAGATACTCTTGTCTTCCTCCAAATTCCTGTAGGACTTGTCTTGATCCCACAGCAATCCAGGATGAGCTGCTTTTCTGCCACCATGTCTCACATATATTATTAGTTATCTAGTATCTTTGAATGTCTGTATATATGTGTGTTGTGATTGTTTAGTTGCTAAGTCATGTCTAACTCTTTGCAACCCAGTGGATTGCAGCACGCCAGGCTTACTTGTCCTTCACTATCTCCCGTAGTTTGCTCAAACTCATGTCCATTGAGTCAGTGATATATTTATGAGTGTAAAGCAATTAATCTGATGTTTTATAATGAACCCAGGAAAAATCAGTCACACTAGTTGCCTCATTCTATGTCTTATTTCTCTCATCAAATTACAAATTCTTTGAAGTTATCTCTATTAGATATACTTGTTTCCCTTGAATTGTGATTTATCTAAGAAATACAGTCTAATAAGTGCTGAGTTCAATGTGGGATCACATCTCTTAGCAAAGGTCATGGCCACCTCTCTTCTTTCCTCTATGGCTGGTCCTAATCACTTATATTCAACTTCTCCCATTGGCCCTCCTCCAGCACCCAAGCTAATGATCTTAGTAGAACAATACTATTGCGCAGGCTTTAGCATAAATCAAATGTAAAGGAACATGGTTAGTTGAAGAACAAGGAGAAACTTAGCAGTGTTAGAAGGTGGATGTGAGGAGGCAGAAAGTCTTGAGATGCAGCTAAGATGTGGGGCAAGGCTGGGTCAGCAGGTTAGACTGGGTCAGCTAAGATGTAGGGCATGGCTGGTTAGCAAGATGTCATGCTAAGGAGGTGGAACCTTCTTTCTCATCACTGGGACTGGGAGGTTTTTTTAATCAGCCAGCCATGTCACGAGGGACCTGATCAGATTTACTTCATTAGAGGTGTGGGAGATGGGTAGGGAAGAGGAGGAAGGACTGGGAGAAGGTAGGCCAGTTAAGAATACGATTTCAGCATGCAAGAGAATGGAGTCAAAAGCACTGCAAAGCAAGAGAATGGAGTCAAAAGAATGTAGAGATTTGCAGCCCATTGAACCAGCTGTGCTCTTTTCCCCAAGGGGTCTAGTGTGCAAGGGCTGCAAACAGCAGCCTCCTTAGTAGTGTCGGAAGCCTGTAGCCTGTACAGGTTGCCCTAAGGTACCTTGGAGTCAGCCCTTTCCAGTAGACATTTATGATTGGCATGCTGTCCCCAATCTAGGTTCCAGACAGGTGTGTGTAGTGCCTTTCCAAAGAAGCCCCGGGGCAGAGTGGCCAGGGTCCACATTGGCCAAATCATAATGTCCAAGTTGCAGAACAAGGAGTATGTGATTGAGGCCCTTTGCTGTGCTTAGTTGATCAGTCATGTCCAATTGGGAGAAGGCAATGGCACCCCACTCCAGTACTCTTGCCTGGAAAATCCCATGGATGGAGGAGCCTGGTAGGCTACAGCCCATGGGGTTGCAAAGAGCTGGACATGACTGAACGACTTCACTTTAACTTTTCACTTTCATGCATTGGAGAAGGAAATGGCAACCCACTCCAGTATTCTTGCCTGGAGAATCCCAGGGACAGAGGAGCCTGGTGGGCTGCCATCTATGGGGTCGCACAGAGTCAGATGCGACTTAGCAGCAGCATGACCAACTCTTTGTGACCCCATGGACTTATCCTGCCAGGCTCCTCTGTCCATGGGATTCTCCAGGCAAGAATACTGGAGGGGGTTGCCATGCCCTCCTCCAGGGGATCTTCCCAATCCAGGGATCAAACCCAGGTCTCCCACATTGCAGGTGGATTCTTTACTGTCTGATCCACCAGGGAAGCCCAGTTGAGGCCCTACACAGGGCCAAATTCAAGTGCCTGGGCTGCCAGGAGACCTGCGTCTCCAAGAAGTGGGGATTTACTCAGTTTAATGTGGAAGAATTTGAAAACACGGTGGCAGAAAAGCAGCTCATCTTGGATGACTGTGGGGTCAAATACATTCCTAATCTGGACAAACAGCGGGCCTGCACTCATGAGAGCCTTGACACTGTTCCCTCCTTACTCATGCCCACCAATAAATCCTACTTTCCTGTCAAAAAAAAAGAATGTGAAGGAAAAATGGACGTAACTTGATGGCAGAGACGAGACGGAAAAGATGACAATGGAAAAGAATGAATGACACAGGTTTGCACTTTTAACAATGGGGTAGCTGAAGTAGAGAAGCAGGTTGGGGATGGGCTGGAGTAGGTGAGAAGACAATGAAGTCTGATGTGGATATGTTGAATTTGTGATTGAGGACCTGAAGCAAGAGATGGGTTGGAGAGACAGACCTGGGGTAGGTATAACTCACCCAATAAAATGTGTATCTGTCTTGAAATACACTGTTCACTCTTAGCCCATGCAGCCAACTACATTTCTTGTCCTACCTGTTTCACCAGATTTTTATTATGTTCCTGACTCCCAGTTTGTTATACTTCTACTCTTGGTCAGTTCAGAACTCTTTCTGTAATATTTTATATAGAGTCGTTACGTAACTCTTAAACAGACTCTTCAACATTGTTTAAGGAGTAAAGTTCCGTGGAAACCCAGTTTATTGCACCTTATGTTACAATAAACTGTGGTGTGTCCTGGCCGGGTTCCCTCTTTTCCAGCTCACTTCATCCAACTGCCCATGCACAGAATCTTCTCTTCCTTCCACCTCCCATTCTCTTAACCCCTTCTCTACACTTATGGTCACAGCTTTATCTTTTTTTGTTGTGGTTGTTAATTAGTTTATTTGACTGTGCTGCGTATTAGTTGCAGCACATGGGCTTTTTAGTCCTCACTGCAGCATGCGGGATCTACTTCCCTGACCAAAGATCGAACCTGTGCCCCCCCTACATTGGGAGCTCAGAGTTTTAGCCATTGGAACACGAGGAAAGTCCCCTCTGCTTTATTCTCAAAGCTTTCTTCTTCCTGGGCTTCATGACATCTCCTGATTTTCCACCTACCTCCAATTTCTCTGACTGCTATATGTCACCAAACCCCTACTTCAAGTTTTCCAGGCTTCCCTGTTTAGCCTTCCTTTCATCTCATTTTAGTGCACAATGTGATCTCATCCACTTGCGGGGCTTAAAAAACAACCATTAACATTATTTCTAAATCTGAATTTGTGGCCCAGTCTTCTCAGTCCAAATCCAAATATCCAACTCCTTTTAGGACACCTTTTTCCACATGTGTTTCATGGGCATTTCAATTCAGTTTGCCGCAGTGAAGGTCTCCTCTCCCCCCACACCAGGCCTTTCTCCAGTCTGATTTTCAGTGATGGTAGTCACCCTCCCCGTAACCTGGGAGCCGCTCCTGACTTCTCTTTCCTTTCTCAAACTCAGTTTGCCGTGAAATCCTACCCATTTTACCTTATAAGTGAGCATTTTCTTAGATGAGAATACAGTGTGGTTGAAGATAGTAAGGAGGGATTGAGATTAGCCCTGACAGGAGAAGTTTTGTTGAGAAATATTGGAAAATATGGTTGGACCATCAAGTGGGAGAGTGACTTGAAAGAGGCCACATGGAGTATTTCACAACCGATGTGGTTGTAGAATGACCAAACATTAGGCAGATGGATGAAATGGTCATTTCAAAGTGCATTTTAAAAAAGCAGTCACTTGAAAAAATAGGAGTAACTTTGTAATCAGTGACAACCATTTCTCACATTTCATTGATGACATGAGGGGGAAAAAAAAAACCTACAAAGTTCCAACTAGAAGGTCAGAAAATCTGGCCCTGAATTTAAATGGAAGTGCTACTAAAAAATAAAAAATAATAAATTCTCATTGAAGAGGATAAATTGAAATTAGGCATTAGTGATATAACTAGTAGACTGTGTTGAAAATAATTGCAAGAATGACATAATTTAATTGAAAGCTGCTTATAAATCAATTCCTTAGCTATAAATGATCTTTAAACTGAATATATAGAGGCATTTTTTAATAAATCACCAAATTGAATTGTGATGATGATTTTCTGAAACATCTGCATTTCCGTATTTCTCAGTAAAAATATGAGGTTAAATAAGCTATGTTATAATACAGCATATGGTATGACATATAATATATTGATAAATGTAAGCAATTTCCATTTAATTTGGCTCAGATACTAATTAAATTCAAAATAAATATACTTCCCTCACCAGTATAATCAGTCAATAGGCAAATAGCTGGGAGAAAAAGTGCTACAAGCCAGGCAGCTCAATAGACCATGTTTCAAAAGCAAAGGAAAAAATAAAATTGTAGTAAACACTGCACTTACGGAAGAAAACTACATTTATGAAGCAGATGTCTCAAAAGGAGACAGTGAGTTTCAACATAGGAACTCAGAGACAACTAGACACCAGAGAATTCCTGCTGCCAGGAGTCAGCAGCTAAAAAAAATGACACTAGAAAAAACTGCTAGGTGTGATAGATTTAAAACCAAAGCTTTTCCTCTTCCTCCTGGTCATTTTCTTCTTTTTTTCCTGATTGCATGTTCAATGATAAAAGTCTGTCAAATCGCTAAGTTACTTACATGGGGGCCGGGAAGGCCCAAGGCGTGGTGAGCATACACGTTAATGTCCATCCTGGGGCACAAGCTCTGTACCTGGTGCTTGAATCAGTGAGCAGAGCAGCCGTGTGTTCTCTTGGCTTAACTACCCCAGAGCAGTCATAAATAGGCGTCTGAATTCCAAACTAAATCTTGAGCTCCGCCTCTCTGAAAAGGAAGAAAAAAAAAAAGTGACTCTCAACTCTTCCTGTCTGCCTGGACAGTAGCTTAAAAGTAGGACAGTCAGTGTCTGAGTGTTAGTTTCCTGTTTTGGATGCACTAGTCTACCTGATGATTTTATTTTCCACTAGAAAAATTATTTTCTTCTGAGTTTCTTAAAGGTAGAAACAAAAATCTACGATCATAATCTCAATAGTGTTCTTCATATTGGTTTCACACACAGGCAAAACATTTACTGATGTATTGTTTAGAGCAAAGAAGGAAAATAAAAAGATTAAACGAGGATTTAAGCTTCCTTCACAGTCACAGGCCTCAAGATACTTAAAACCCTTAGTTTCCTGAGACTGAAGGAAAATCAATACTGTTGCACTTTATCTAAGCTGCATTAAGACTGAAAACTGTTGATACATTTTATAAGGGAGGAATCTTATATTTTGGGGGCTCAGGAACCCCCCCATAGCCAGATTGGTGGCAAGGGATATAGGCTGATGATTTGCTTATTTTGATTTCACTGGTATACGTTCATTTGAACACATCACCATCCTAGCCTTATCTACCACATAACTGTACATTCTACTTAAGGAAAGCTAAGATTAGAAGTAATCTATTTGGGGGAATTTCCTGGTGGTCTGGTGGTCTGGAGCTTTCACTGTCGGGGTTTGGGGTTCTATCCCTGGTTGAGAAGGTAAGATCCTGCAAGCTGCACAGCCAAAAGAGAAAAATAATCAGTTTTTAAGAAGAGAAAACTCTATACTGCTGTTTTTAAAAACGGATGAATGGAATGCGGAACATATAGCTGAGCATAAGCTAGCACATTTACTTAACTATCACAGGCTGGCACAAACTGAGAAATGAAATTGACTTAAAGAATAGTAAATAAAATCTAACTATGTATGAAAAGAGTAATACCAAATGACCAAATGTTTGTCTGTGGACTGTGAGTATGATCCAGCTTTAGAGGTCTTTTGATATGACGTTACATTAACAAAAGAGAAAAATTACAAAAATCAGATTTTGAAAAAGTGTTTGCTACACCTGTTCCCAATTAAAAAAAAAAAATGAAACCAAGAGAAAAGCTCTTTTTGTCATGTAGGATATCTGGAAACTTCCTTAACTCATTAAAGTACAACCAAAATCCAGAGCAAGCATCGCATGTGACGGTGAAACAAAAAACCTCTCATGCTACTTCCACTCCCAGTGAAGGCCCCACTTCCCAAGACATCATATTTGGGAGGAGCTCAACACGTGATCTGGGAGGCCCAAGTGTTTAGTTCATAACACTGCCTCTCAGGATGGGCCCTTACTCGGCCCATCAAGATGACTGCAGAAGTGAAACAAACATGATGACAGGGTTAGGCTGAGGGAGACTGGAGCTGAAATTCCCAGGTATCCTCCATCTACTTCTGGGTGGCAATCCTTCTCAAGGGAGGCAGTTCCATACCCCAAAGGGGTATACTACAAAATGTGTATGGGGGGATAATCTTTATTTGTCACGATGAGCAACAGATGCTTTTAGTTTTACTGGATAGGAACTTTTTTGCAATGTCAGAAATTGTCCTGCACAATAAAAATTTCTTCTGTCCCAAATGATGGGATTCCCTGATGGCTCAGCAGGTGAAAAATCTGCCTTCAATGCAGGAGACACAGGAGTTGCAGGTTCGATTCCTGGGTCAGGAAGAACCCCTGGAGGAAGAAATGGCAGCCCACTTCAGTATTCTTGCCTGGAGAATCCCATGGACAGAGGAGCCTGGCAGACTACAGTCCGAAAGGTTGCAGTGAGACATGACTGAGCACAATACCAAATGATGGGAATATTCCTACTAAGAAATTCCACTGAGATATTTACATGTAGAAAGCTGATGGAATTTATAATTACACAAAAAGTAATAGAATTGTCTCCTGCAGTTTGGTTGGGAAGTTCAGGAGTGTTAGGCATCATGGATTCCCCTCCAGGCACATAAATTCCTAGTTAATCATTACATATCAGTATTTACGGACTCTGAAGCAAACCATGGTCTGGTCTTGAAGCAGTGCTGCAACCGGAGAAACCAGCTGGACCAACAAAGAGTAATTTTAAAATAGCTCAAAAATTCTCTTACATTTCCCAAGTGTGATGAAGGGTATACATAACCCTCGGCAGCATTTTCTGATTAATGTCCACTCTTCATTCCCATTCATCTCTTCACATCCAGTTTGCTTTTTCTCACATAAAAACACTGTTTTAAAAAGTCCTCTCCCTTCGTTTCTAGTCTCTATCAGTAAAGTCCCTCTCTGAGAGCTGACCTGGGAAATAGTCTCATGGCTGGTTTTCAGGCTGCGGCTCTGGGGGCCCCATGGCTCAGCTGTGAGCAGTGTCCCTGGGCAGGCCACTCATGCGACGGATGCCCTTCGGTTGCTCATATTTGTTAAGCACACATCAGGCCACAGATGGGCCCAGCTGGTTGGAGAGTAAACATACAACAGGTTACTTTTAGGTGCCAACTTCCCTGGTCCCTGCACAGACATCCAGAATGACAACACAGACAAACGGCCCGTTGACCGCAATGCGGGATGTGGGGCGTCTTCCTGCTGGAGCCTGCTCCAGACTGCAGCAAGAAGGTTGACACTCTGAAGCCCTATTTTGAGGGGACTGGGGCAGAAGCCCCTTCCTCCTCAGAACCTGGAAGGCCTGAGAAATCATACCATGACATCCTCCCAGGGAAGGCAGGGAAGTAGATGGGAGATACCCTAGAAGTTTCCCATTCTCTCTCAGTAAGTTGTCTTTTAAACAGAAACACACAGCAAACAAGGTTATATATCAATCAGTTGACAAAAATGTTGTGACCAGAGGCTTGCAGGAACCTAATCTTTTGCTTCTCTTAGATACAATAAACAGTTGGGTATTCACTACCTTGGCCCTCACAGCAACCGTATAGACCCTAAATACTGCAAAAAAAAAAAAAAGAGAGAGAGAGAGAGAGAGAATAACCTGTATTATGATGGACACGGAAATATATTTGGGCTTCACACACAGCCAGTCTCAGGGACTCCTCCTCCCTTACCAAGGGTCCTGAGGCCACTTTGAGAACTGCTGCCCCAGTACCCGGCAGTTCACCAGCCTGACACTGGGAATAGACCCCATTAGGATCACCGCAGCTATTTTGTTCATCTTTGTATTTCCAGAATCATGCATAGTGCCAAGCACGTGAAAGTGAATTCGCTCAGTCATGTCTGACTCTTTGCGACCCCAAGGACTGTACAGTCTGTGGAATTCTCCAGGCAATAATACTGGAGTGGGGAGCCTTTCCCTTCTCCAGGGGATCTTCCCAGCCCAGGGATCAAACCCAGGTCTCTTGCATTGCAGGCAGATTCTTTACCAGCTGAGCCACAAGGGGAGCCCCAAGTACATAGTAGCACTCAATGAATATAGTAGCATTCAATGAATTGTGAATTAAATTAAAATGGGCTAGGATAAGGTATTTACGAGATGGCGAAAGAAACCTGAGACAGACAGGAGGGCCTTTTTGGAGCTGAAGTTCAGTTCAGTCTTTTTGTTTGTTTTTGTGTTTTTGGCTGCACTGGGTGGCTTAGCTCTCTTGGATCAGGGATCTTAATTTAATTCCCTGATCAGGGGTTGAACCTAGGCACTTGGTAGAGAGAGCACAGTGTCCTAACTACTGGGCCACCAGGGAATTTCTCAGTTCAGTCTTAATCGTCATGATTTATGTCTAGGGTAGACTATTTGAACTATTAAAAGTGATTCAACATGTTTTAGATTACTGAAAGTGAGAACGACTATACCAAAGATATGAAAGACGATTTTTTTTTTAAAGAAATTCAGATGTAGATAAAGCATACTCGTACTCAAACAATATGATACATTGATAAATAAATCCAAATCTATACTGATGAAATATCTTGATTATTAAAGTGGATTTTGCAATGTGATTTTTTTTTTTTTTAAGATGTAGATTTAAAATCAGGCCTCACCTCATGTTTTTATGGGGCCGGTGTTAACACTTATGTAAATTTTAACTACTCTAGGCTGGGAAACATTACATCATTGTTTCTTATCTTTTCTTGTACAAACATAGCTAAGCATTGTGCTGATGAAATGACACACAGCTTTGATGAAATAACCATTAGTAACTCTTTGTGTCAAGTTTCGCCCCTGCCTTGCTTCCGTTTGGCCGATAGCCTCTTCCAAAGCAAAGATCAACAAATGACACTTCAAAGAGGGCCCAGGATTAGATCCTGGTCCTAACATCCTGCACAGGGGGACCCTCGCCCCCAGGAAGTCAGAGGAGGAGCAGGTACAAAGCGGATTGCTAGAAACTGGTGGCCACAGACCACGTGCTCCAGGAGAGAAGGAGATGGGAAATTACTGAGCAGAGGGTAAGCTTACAGAGGGCAGGGACTTTCAGGTGCCTCTAGGAATTTGAAGGAGGTCTGATTCCTAGATTACACATGACAAATGCTGCTGACCTGAGTGATGGTAATAGCAGGTGGGTCCAAGGCTGAGTAGAAGCATAAAGTCCTCCTGGGTCCAAAGAGACAATCAGAACCATGTCCTTGGGGACAGGCAGTCTGGGAGGAAGCAGGCACAGGGGATTGGGGTCTGAGCAGGCAAGAGATGCCAGCTAGCACTGGGGCAGCAGAACTGAGCTGTTTTGGTGGAGTAGGGCCTGGGCAGGAGATGGAGAAGAGAGGCTAAGGGTCCTGTTAGGGGCCTGGGGGCCTGGAGTTGAAGTACCCGAAAAGAACGAGGAGTAGAGAAGGCTGCCTCTCGCCTTCCTTCTGTGTGAGCAAGCTTGGGTTGAGGAACCACAGCACGCAAGAAAGGGAGCGGGGCACTCGCCATTGCCCTGCTGAATGTG